GTGGCATGTTGTTTTGATGCCTGCAGGCATTAAGAGAAAATAAATGTTCATTGACTTTTTAAAATAGTTTTGTAGATCCACTGTGATGTTTAATCCAGTGTTTGTATAATGGCTTTCAGTACAGCACAGGGACGCTGGGAAGGCCACATCATCGGGGCCTTGATTTTAGTTTCTGCAGTCACAAAAACTCTAGAATGATTAACATTGCAGGGTTCCATAGAGAATAAGGTACCACATTCACCATTAAAAAGCCATCTTTATTACTGGAACTGTGACATTTTACTCATTAGGCCCTTCATCAGACATTCCATTCTTAATTTAGAGAGGCTTGTGCGTCATCGTCCATGAATCCTGTGTTCATTTTTGGAAGCACATCTTTTCCAGTTGCTTGAGCGCTGCCCGATAGCTGTGAATGTTTCAGATGGGAAACATTTAGAGGGTACGGCAACAAACGGGAACATCAGGTCAAACACGGAGCTGGAACTCAAGCTCACATTTCTCCACCTTTCTGGGTGTTTGGTCTCAAAGCTGGAAACAAATCAGAAAAAACAAAGAAAAGCAGAAATGTGGTGGCAGAAGATCATCAGCGGAGACGTAAAGGCTTTTAGCAAGATGACTGCTGAAAACCCCAAAACTGTGAGGATTGCAGGCCTCTGTCTCTGGGCAAGGTGATTAGGAAACAGGGTCTGCTAAGCTTCCTTCAGCCTGTTTCCCACATCTGTACATGTTAATGTTTGGAAAATGGCACAAGATGTCTGCCAGCTGTTTAAAAGAGGGGTGGACACTACTTAGAGACTTCACATAATAGTCATTAGGTGTGGGGATTGCTCTGTAATTGCATTACAGCCCAGGAATATAGAACCCTGGCATCCTCTCTGCATACAGAATAATGTGTTCAGTTTCCTCACTGTGCTTCTGCTTATTAATGCCCCCAAACAAATAGAAGCTAAACAAGTCTAGAATGCAGTCAGGAGCTCCTACATCCTGATCACATCTTCTTTTATCACCTGAAGAAATAGTTCAGTAGCTTAATACAAGCAGTTCATGGTTTGTCCAGAGATGATTAAAGCTGCTCTGATGGGTGCCTTTATGAGGCATTGGATGTTTGTTTGGAGTTATTCCATACATACTTCTCATAGTATTTGTACATTTCTCCGACTATCCACTCACCTGGACACTCTCATATCGGTGCATACACCATATGATCCCATATGATGCTATTTTCTTCTTCGTTTTCACTTCCAGGTTGTCAGCGCGAGCCGGCTGGTGGGCGCGGACCACCCCTTAGAAATAGTGTATTTTGTGGAGGGTCCCAGCGGCCAGAGGATGCCTGCTGACCAAACAGCTAACCTGCTAAACAACCTGGATGTTCAGAGGGCTGCCATCGTCTTGGGATATCGTGTGCAGGGCATCTTGGCACAGCGTGAGTATCCCTTGCATAGTAGATAAGCGATGTCCACGAGTAGCTAAATAATGTAGTGACTGAGGGAACGGTCCCTACAACAACAGGCACTCGCCCTGTTTTGGTTGCATGCTTGTTTTATATTTATATTTCCTTATGTTTACTACTGGTACACTTATCGCTGGTGTCTCGATATAGGTCTGGTGTCTAATTGTTCTCAAGGTCCGAGTCAGAAAAACAACAACTACTGGCTCCATGTGTTTCTTTGCATGTTTATAGTAGCATTGGAGCTAATTACCTACCTTTGTACACACTGCACCAAAACCCTGTCTTCCTCATTAAAAATCTAAACAAGGGATGAAGGACTAATGAGAGCACCTCCAGGGAGTTGAGTGTGTGTGCTGACTGCGTTCTCTTACGGTGCTTTCCCTGGGGATGAAATGAGTGTTAATTAAAACTAATGAAGGTCTGCTCTGAAGATTGCAGCAGCAAGATAGCGCTAAGTTTTACATCCTAAAGGTGTTTGTGAACGTGCCATATTTGTATTCGAAGCTCAAATTAAAACTTTGTTCCGTCTTTCGTCTGAAGCGGTGGAGAAGGTGGCCTCTTCGCCGTCCGACACCGAGAACACCAACATGTGGGTCGTCATCGGCGTGGTGATTCCCCTCCTCGTGGTCATCGTCATCATTTCCATCCTCTACTGGAAACTGTGTCGGACAGACAAGCTGGAGTTCCAGCCAGACGCTATGACCTCCATTCAGCAGAGGCAGAAGGTAGAGTTCCAACCGTGGAAATATGTCCACGTTCATGTTTCTACCACAGTCATCTTTGGAACATCGGTCATCGAGAAGTAAAAACAGTGCATCCGCAGGTTAAAATTAAAGCGTTAAGCAGATAAAGTATATTATTATTATTTATCTTTCATTCAGTGCGCTCATTATGGCCACACTGGCTTCTTTTTTCTTGTTATTCAACATGTGTTTTTTAGGTTAAATCCAAAGAACTGGAGTAACAATATGATAGTGAAAGAGAAAAAAGAAAGAATAAATAAATAAACAGGCTTTTATATTAATGCATTAAAGATGTATAAAATTATACTTCATAGCTATCCATCTGACTTGCTTCCCTTCTGGGGGAGATCATAATTGCCCCAGTTATAATACTTACTCATTGTTGACACTGAATTACGACGTCCAATATAACTGCATGTGTCATGTGTTTATTGTGTGTGCTGAGCTGTGTCGCGTTGTGCTCGTAGCCAAACCAGTTTCCAAACATGCCTAAATGCTGCAAAGAAAGGTTTTCATCAGTCCGTGTGTGATGTGATCCCTTTAAAATTTAACTAACCCGCTGATTAATGAGGTGTATCTGTCATCGGCGTGAGGGCGCCGCAGGACGGCAGTAAATGTGGATGTTATAATTTCTTCTTTTGGATGGGATTAGTAAAACTTTAATGATTCCAGTAGGAAGACTCATTACAGGACATGTGCTGGGTTACAGCTCATGATGCTGTTTGGACAGGAGATGGGCTTCGGCTGCTCTCTAGTTTTATTCAGAACTTTTCTGATGTTTCCTTCCTCACTTTCTTTCTTTGCTTGAAGCAGAAACAGCCCAGCTCTGCAGTTTGTCTTTGTGTGAGTTTGTTTTCAGTTTGTGAGGACTGGAAAGCCTCTCCTTTGTTAGTGTCCTCGTTTAAACTATAAATTATGCCATTTGGCTGCAGTGAGGCTGTTTTCTGTCCCTCTTAGTTTAAAGCATATGCCCCTGTTTCCTTAAGGTTATAAAGCACAACAGAGATTTCTTCCTCTTCTGTCATTTGAGGTCCTACAGCCATCCTGTTGAACACCTTCCTCTACAGTCATTGACTTAACCTTTAAAACTAATTTCTGTACACCACGGTTACATTTTAAGTTTTATCCATGAAAATAATCCTTTTCTACCTAAAAATGAAGAAGTCCTTGTCTCTCTCTCTCTCTTCACTCACCTGGACCTCAACAGCTCACTGCTTAACCACTGTAAAGCTACACAATGGTTAACTGTAATATTGGAGTAATTCGGCCATAAATGATTTAAAATGACTCTGAAGAATATAGAAAGCCGTATGATGCAAGTTGACAGGACTGGTTTCTTATATATGAAACTTTGGACATCTGAATGTTTTGAGATATTCATGCAAGGTCGAAATGCTCCGTTATGGCGTTAATGGCTTATTTGCTCAATATATGTCTTCCAGCATATTAAAAAAAAAGCACTATATAGACACGTCAACAGCTTGTATTTCACTGGAGGAGGTCTTTATAATGAAATGACAGGTCATATATTATATTTACATTTCTGGAAACACGTGGTTTCTCTTTCAGGAGCACGTTGTGAAGTTATTAAGAGAAACAAAGACAAAGCAGGAGTTACGTAACACTGCATTACAGTTTGGGTTTAAATAACAGGAGCTCTATGCAACGCCAGCGCCTGAAGACAGTCGTTTTACAGTGTTTGGCATGTTTTTGTTTTGTCGTCATGGACAAACCTTAGTCCCATTATGTGTGGTGTAGTTGCTTTAATGTGGAGGAGATGTAGACGACTGATGCCAGGTGTGTTGGGTCGTTACGGTGCTGCACTGGACCCAACAGCACCAGAGAGGTTTGTGCAGAAACCGAATCGCTGTCTGAGTCGTGCACACCTGCAGTGCTCCGTCTCAGCTGCTGTTTTCAGTCAGATCCCAGGAACTCTTCTGCCATGAAGCTGGAGGTTGGAACAGCGCTCCACTCCAACACGAGAATAATTTTTGAATGTGTCCTGAATTATAACCAGCCTGTTTATGTTTCAGCTGCAAGACATGCCGGTTGTTTCTTTGTCTGTGTCTGGCTTCTGTTCTCGTCCACTTCTGCACAGAAGTCCTTCCCTTTAATTCAATGCACTAAATCTAATGTGCAGCAGTGGCTGTCTCTTAGTCTTCTGCTATCTGCCCAACACAATCATCTGTCACCTGACACCGCTGCTCTTCTCTCAGTCTGCTACGTCATTCAGAGAATCAAGGACCTCTCTCCACCAGCGACTCCCTCCAACTGAAAAGGATATTGAGTTTAGTGAGGACGAAGAGGGGGAGTATGAAGAGGAAGAAGAGGAGGAGGAGGAGGAGGAAGAGGGGGAGGAGATGGAGGTTAAAGGGGGGAAGGTACACAGCAGTGTCTGGTGGTTGGTAGAAAATAGATCCAGCTTGTTTGTGTTTGAAGTAGCTTATTAGTGGTGTATTATCCAAAACATCCATGTGCAGAACAAGACGTGTTTTATTGAGCAGAAGTCAGTTTTTCATAATCTGGGGTTTTACCAGTCGATGTAAACAAATATATCAGCGTGTTGCCTCATCACTAGAACTGTCCTGTCCATCACTGCTTCTGCTTAGAGACCAGTAGCTCCTCTGAAGAGCAAACAGAGTGTGAACACCGAGGAGGAGGAAGAGGAGGAGGAGGAGGAAGAAGAAGAAGAAGAGGAGGAGGAGTATGAGGAAGTAGAAGAGGAAGAAGAAGAAGAGGAGGAAGATGACAAAAAAGAGAAAATTAAAAGCAAAGTAATGACACCAGGAGAGCAGAGAAGACAGCAGAGCAGAGCTGTGATGAGCAAAGCAGGAGGAACGAAGAAAGAAGAGAAAACCAAAGTGTTGTCTAAAGGAGGAGGAAGAGTGAAGGCGGAGGTATATCGTGTGACAGACCTGGAGACTAGAGCTTGTTTATGTTCGTAGATGTTAGAATCCTTCCTCCCCCCGTTAGGATAACCAGACAGAACATCTACTGTTATGCAGATCATGTGTTTTACTGCAGCCTGTGGTGTGTTTATCATCTATAGATCCTTTTGTGTCGCCGTGATGTGGAATAGTAAATGTGTAGGCGTCATTTTGAACATATGCAAACTGTTTGTTGTGACTGATTCCCCAGTTTACTTTCAGACGAGGCTCGGTAGAAATCACTGAGTGTAAAGTGGGAAACACGGTTCAGCATTTCAGCTGCAGCTTTCTCAATGTTTTCCCTCTCAGAGGCTGTTTATGTGCCGTGAAGAGCAGCACACTTACTCTCTCCCAGGATTAGCGGTTTCATACTGACAAGCATCACACTGGATTAGCAGTTTTGTACCAACAAGCTTCTTCTAAGCCGCACATTTGGCTTCAGTAAACTCAAAGAGCGTAATTTAGCGAATTAGCAGGAAAACGCCGCGTCACTCTCCTCGTCTCTCGTAGCCACGATCCGGTGGCACAGGAGCAGAGTTTCACAAACGGCAGTCGCACACGCTGAAAACTGACATCCTCTGTTTACTCCTTCGCTGTTGGAAAGTCCTGAGGGCTTTACACTCTGATAGTCTCGCTGCTCCCATCCCCAGCCTCCATCCCCCACCGCCTCAAAGGAAAGAAAGCAGCTCAGTGTTTACCCAAATCTCTCCCTGTCCTGCTTTCTCATAGACTTTCTCTTTATTCATTCATGTCTGTCTGAGTGTCCCTCCTCTGCAGCCATTCATCAGTCATTCAGCCTCATTATGTCTCAAAACTCGTCGGTCTATCCGGCTGTCACTAACAAATCTGGGTCTTAATGGAGTTTCAGTGCATGAGCTGTCAGCATCATGTTATTCCTATATCCAGGGTATCTTAACTTTACCAATGGATTTAAAATCTACAGGTTAAAGCCATGATGCAGTGGTGTCACTTACAGTCCTGTTAATGATGGTGAACGCTGTGTCATCCCCCTCAATTTAAATAAATAGTCATAGTGTCTTCTCTCCCTGTCTGCTCTGCCTCTGCCCTGCCTTTCTTTCCATTCCCTATTGACTTTGTTTCCTTCCCTTCTGCCCGTTTCCTTAGTTGCAGGCTCCCAGTGTGAAAGGCTTCGACTTCGCCAAGCTGCATCTTGGCCAGCAGAGTAAAGATGATGTCATGGTGATCCAGGAGTCTGTCCCGCCTGGGCCTGGTCCTGGGCCCCTCCCTGTGTCCATTAAAGATGGCCTCAGTCCATCGGAGAACGGGGAGATCCCTACGCCCATTTCCAAAGCGTCGCTGTCCTCCACCAAGGCGTCCCGCAGCAGCCGGAGGCGAGAAAGGTCAGAGCTGCTGGCAGCACAGAGGCAGTACCAGAAGTTATATTAAGGCACACATAGAAAAAGTCCTGAAGAGAAGCCCTGAATTAGCTCTAACAGTCTGTTTCATGATTCTGTATTGTTTTATTTTTCCACTTTTTTAGTGATATTCTATATACTGATATACGTTTATAATCGCCACCAGTCCATTTTATTATCGTGTTTTACTCACTTATGGTCCCAGATCGTCCTCGTTTCACCTGCACATGTTGAATAACACTGTTTTTAATCGCTTCTCCAACATAAATGTTTAGTATTTAGATCTTTCATAGAGCTTGTTGTTGCCCTACTGAGGAGATTTTTCACTCAACTCAATTGGGACAGTCAGTCAGCCGGACAGAAAGCTTTAGACAGATCCTCTGATTAATTATTTATGCACTAGAGAGTGAGGGGTCGACATTTGCTTTCGCAGACAGGCCTGTATCACTTATATTAAGTTAAGGCAGATATCTTTTGTATTTTGTAGATTTTATTTAACCCCGGCCACACTTGTTAAACGTTTACACTGATCTGCATAATGTATGCACAGCAGATATTCATCTAACTGAAATAATGTGTTTGCTTCATTGAGGAATCTTCAGTGAGTCTGTGCACCGTTGTCAACATTCCTCAGAGCACTAACTCTTCTGCTTATTAGATGAATGACATCAAATCGTTAGTGCAGCAATTACTGCTTAATGCAAGAGTTAATTTCTGCCACTAATGTATTTTACAACACCAGCTAGATTTAGATGGGGGATTGACATGAATTGTTTCTCCTCACTTGATAGCCATCCAAGACAAATGAAGATTTTAATCATTCTGTCGTTAGGAATCCTTCTGAGCATTCGTCTCAGTCAGTCATAAACCACATTAGCGTTTCTTAGAAGTCTCTTCCCAGCTTTTTACCTTTCTGGAAAAGCGCTGCGTTTGATTATGCATGACATTCCAGCATGTCAGTGTGTCCTGGCTTTCTATTATTCATGTAAGTGTGCGTGTTTTCTCTGGGTAGGGTCTCCCCGTCAGACGGCGACTCGGTGGTAAGTGACCACTCCAGTGAGCGTGAATCGACCGAGGAGAACCTGAGAGCCCACGCCACGCCCAGCGACGGCAAGCAGACCCGTAAGGTCCCCATCAATGTTTTAAACGGCAAGTGAAACACTCAGTCCATACACAGAGAGAGAATATGAGGAGGGGGAAGGGGCAAAGCAGGAGACTTGGCTGACATAAAGAGATAAAGAGAGAGCAACTCAAGCAGGCCTGATTTGATTGACACCAGGGCCAGATTGAGGGCAGGCGAGACTGTGAAGCGATAAAAAAACACGACTAAGCCCAGAAAGACTGAGGAGAAGTGCGGCTTCAGCCCAAGCAATGACATAAAAATTACAGAGGTAAAAGAAACACCTGGTACGAATTCTTCTCAGTGGTCGAAAGAAGTCCAAAGAAAGGATTGAGGAGGACAAAGAATAGCTTCAGTTACTCCGTCTGACAGCTTGTTGATGGATTCAAGCCTGCAGTGGCGTTCAGAGGCAGACAGGCAGCCAGACTCCAGCAGCCTGACTCAGCCTCAGAGGAAAGATCTCTGTTTTGTTATTGATAAATCTCAGCCTGAGCCTGTGCGTGCTCCGCTCACTGTTTACTCGTAGACTGTATATGAAACACACTCGGTGTTACGTAACGCGCCGCCTGTCGTTTTCCTCATTCGCTCTCTTGATCAGTGTTTTTCCTGCTTATCTGAAGCAGCTCTTTCTTTGCTTTTTTTTCTGACTAATGAACTAAAGACCTGCTTTTATCAAACTTCCCTTTTCCTCTCTCTTTGTCTCTTTTTTTCATTCATGGAGGCATGAATTGGGTCTTAATTCACGAGTCTTTCTTTTTATATTCTCAATGTACAGAAAGCACTTTTATCTTAGATGTTTTTCCTTCATCTCCTTCACTCCAGTAAGACTTTCTTTCCTTTCTGTTGTGGTTTGCAGGCAAGAATAGAATTGGTAAGAGTCTGTCCACTTCCCCTCTGTGTGTCAGTAGATCTCAGGCCTGACCTCCAGCAGCTGCGTCTGTGTGTTGTCTGTTTGTTTCTGTAGTAGTTTTGTTCTCGGCTTCTTCTCACCATCCATCACTGTCTGCAAAGCTGTCAGTCACAGGGTGGAAACAATCCACGTCGCAAACAAAGGCAGCAGCCGTTGTTTGAAGTCTAGAAATCATTTCATGCTACCACCGGAAACATTCACGCCACACTTTTGTTATAATACATTTCAAATATAGCCTCGTCAATGGAGTGAGAGGTAAATGTTGTGTCTGTCATGGTTATGCTGTAGTTGAAATCCCTTCCCCCTAGTTTAAATCAACCTTTGCTTTTGGACCGGTGTTGTCTACACTGCGTTGTGACTCTTGTTTACTTCCTCAGGTCCTCCTCCTATGAATGGTACAAGCGAGCAGCTGTCCTCGGCCTCCATCTTTGAACATGTTGACCGGATGTCTCGTGCCACGGACGCCAGCAGGAGACTCCCCAACAAAGTGCAGCTCATCGCCATGCAGCCCATGCCCGTCCCACCACTGCACAGTCCACCGATCAACGGCAAACTGTCCGACACAAACCAAATCAACAAAGAGGTTTGCTCCTCTGACTTTCTTTTTGCTTTGCAGAAAGCAATTACAAAACTGTGAAAGTATTTTTTTTTAACCATGTATTACTCAGCAAATTTTAAATTGTTTATGAGTTGAGTGACTTCTTATTATTACTGCTGGACCAAGATGGCCCAACGGGAGCCTTGCTATGATTTAGGCTCTTGTTTCTGGACATCAAACCGCTGCAGACCCACAGGAGAAACACAGGCTTACACAGAATATAGGTCTTCATTAAAAACATGACTAATTTACCTGTTCAACCAAATTGAAAACACATCTGTCTTGTATAACCAAAAAAAAAAAGCATCTGTGAATTATCTCCCAGAGGACCTACAACATCTCATCTTCTTGATTAATAAATGAGGAGATTATAAAATGAGCCCAAATAAGCTCTTGGTCAGTCAGAGAAACTTAAATAGCTTCACTCAAAGAATGAACAACCTAATTAGTAATAGTTTATGGCGGAGATCATTTGTTCAAATAGACATGATGTTATTTATTCTTTTATGTGACTGCAGTTCTTGTCATTGGTCAGAATTAATCTACAGTTTACTCACAGTCTGCTGTTGACGTGTTTTGGACTTTTTTTCTAATGACTTTATTTTGTGCTCAGATTCAGGTGGCACTGAGGCACAAGTCAGAGATCGAACACCATCGAAACAAGATCCGTCTACGTGCCAAGAGGAAGGGCCACTACGATTTCCCTGCCATGGATGACATGGTCAGTGGCCTCGGAGATGCGAAAGACCAAGATCGCATTTATCAGAAAGCACAGACGCAAATCGATAAGATCCTGGACCCAGATGCTCAGATGCCGTCCATCTTCATGGAGCACAAGAAAAGGTGAGGGCTCATATTTTGGGTCAGTGGTTGGTTTGATTTTGAGCTGGAGGAGTTTTATTTTTGTGTGTTGGTGTGTGGCGTCAATGTTTTCTGGTCCAGCTAAAACAAATCAGAAATACACGCAGCACACACAGTTTCTCCGTTTGTTTCTCAGCGCTCGAGGGAGGCGCTCTCCCAAACAGAGGATGAAGGACCATCTGAACGGAGGCATGATGGAAGCAGACAAAGACCACCTCATCACTGACGACAGCGACGCCGTTTACAGGAAGTGCCCCGGAGTCAACAACGTGGCCTACGTGGTGGGTGATACAGAAGCATCCAGACATTTCCAGTCTTTCTTATTCTGTGTAGCGTCTATTTCTCTGAGTGTCCACGTATGTAAATGTGTTGTGTTAATTCCAGTCGGACCCTGACCAAGGCCCGGGATCCCCTCACAGGAGCCCCTCCCCCACGGACGACGTCTTCCTCGCCCACGCCTCCTCGCCTCCGGGCCATGCCCCTCCCCCGCCCCCCTACATGCCACCACAGCCCTCCATCGAGGAGGCACGGCAGCAAATGCACTCCCTGCTGGACGACGCCTTTGCCCTGGTTTCGCCCACCTCTCAGGGCAGCACAGCCGGGATCACTCTCCCAGGGGTCAACAGCAACCCCCCTGGCTCCAGCCCTCCAGGCCGTGGCCCTAGACCCTGGGGTCCCTCCTACCAAGCTCTCGGCCCGACTCCTGTAAGCCGCCATCCATCTACAGACAGCTTATGATAGAGCTTCAGCCGTTCAGTAAACATAGAATCACACTGCTTCCACTGAACAGCGTTCTGTACAGATACTAGTGCTGGTTTAGGTTCCTATATGAGCTGCTCATTTCACTAACAAGACAACAGAAAAACAGCCAAAGGATCCCTGTTTACGTGTGTAATCGCCCAAACAGACATGTAAACTCCTTTGTGTTCACTATCTCCTGTCTCTCTCGAGGTTTTTGCCCCGTATTCCCAGCGTGAAGCGTATAGCTTCAGGTTTAATCGTGTCTTCTTAGCAAACTAATCAGTTAAGTATTCCTCCATCTGTCGCCCCCGTGGAGCTGCGACCTTAACCCTCATCAGCTACATTCACCTCCTAAGACCCTGCAGGAGTGTAGCTGCAGTGTGCTTGGTCTGCATTAGCTCCAGTCAGTGTAGGCTGTTTGAAACGAAGCTGCAGTCTGATAGCCATGCATTTGTTCTTAATGTGCACAATACTGTTCAGGTACAACACAGTGCATTCACAGTGTTTCATGTGGCGTATGGAAGACACCTCGTAGGAGTTATCTACGGCACATTTCGGGGCCGAGAGCTCAGCTGAAATTAAATAAAGGTTTTTAGTGCCAGTCAGTGTTACACGAGTAGAAAAGTTATGAGCTGTTTAAAGATGACAGAGCGTTCTGTTAGTGGCACAGGAAGCTGTAAAGAGTTTTACCCGTTAAATCACTCAGATTAGATACACAGTCAACATTACGACGGCTGGAAAAACCTCATCAGTGCTTTACAGATGCATTCCAGTACGCTCAGTGGCATCGAGCAGCACCGTATTTTATGGCTCCGTTATGTGATTTTATGATCCAAACTCTAAATGTGTTCCTCTATTAACTATAGGAACTTAAATAATAGCCCCAAAGTTTCATACTTTTCTTTATTTCCTAACATCTCAGTTACAATCTTACAGTGACGTGTATTTCACAGCTGTCAAAACACATTAATAAAACTGTTCTGTCCCGGAGAGTCCAGTACCGGCGTTCAGCCCAGGTGACAGATACAGAGAGAGCTTTAACAGTGAGCAGTGGAGCCGTAAAAACCCATTTTCTGGTGCTGCTTTTGTAGGTTCAGTGCGTTCACATGCTGTAAAAAGAAGGATATCCAACAAAACAACAGTATATAAAGTAGGACCCACTGCCCACATACACCGTACATAGACAGCAGGAGGCTTTGCTTTCTAAGAAATTCATCATCCACTGTGAACTTTCTCTGTGTTAATTGCAATATATGTATTTGGTACTTCTTAAAACTGTATAAAAGCTGTTCCATAAAGTTTAGAATATAACTGAG